TTGCTTCCTGTCTTGGTTATTCCAAGTCAGGTGTGCAAACAAAGCGAAACTTTGGCGACTTGTTAGATGAACAGCCTGAGGGACACCTTGTAACCATGACGCTGTGGCTTTAAATTTCCCTAATAGCTATTGCTTTTGTTTTGTTTTACTACGCAAAACCTCAAAAAAGGCTCACCTTGGCACACTCTTACTGTCGCTGCTCTTTCCTGTGTCACAGAAATGTCCTTTGTTGGCTACCAAGCTGCCATGTGACGCCTCTCAAAGGTGAATATTAAAGCCGTTGATGGCTTCACACATTTTGCTTTTGCTATCATAAAAGGTAATCATTACAGTTGGTTTAGTTAAGTTTTATCCTCATTTACACCTTCATTGCTTAAAGATTACTGGTGAATAACTCCAGGAAAAGTCATCAGACTATCCATGTTATTGATTTGATGTTTCATGGTTAAACAAGACAAATTTCATGTCTTGACTTCATTTGTGTCTTAAGACCAAACACTGTTGTTCTGATCTAAATTGAATTCTTATTTAACAGTAGCAATGATAAGTATAACTGAACTAAATAGCAGTTATTTACTAGTATAGGGTTGTGTGTTTCACCTTACAAAAGAGGGGGGAAAAAAACCCAAATGTTCCGAGTATGTAACTGTCAGAACTGCCGAGTACTACACCTTTCTTTCACATCCTAAGTAATTTAGTGTCAAACAGGACAAAAGAACTTGTGACTTTCCACATTATTCTCAAATTTGGTTTGGTAAATGCCCATTGCACAAATTTGATCGCTTTAGTTTGACTGTTTTGTATCGCGCTTGTTCCTGTTCGCCTAGCCTGTTGGTACTGTTCCGTTTTATTGCCAAGAAGAAGAAGCAAACAGACACAAAACATGTATGTAATGTTGTTTGTTGATGACTTTAATAGCAAGTCTGTCATCCACTCACTTTGTTTGCAAGTTTGAGATTAGCATGTACTTTAAGCTGGCAGCAGGAAGTTTGATGTTATCTCTTGTTTAGCAGCTGGTTTTGAGCTATTAAACAAACATGAAATGCTGTTATTTTATTCCATAACTTCTCATATCGATTGATCAGATGTTTTGTAAAAAGCTTAAATTACACTTTTGTAAGAGTAAAGATTACTGTTAAATAAATTATATATATATTAGGGGTGCAACAATACTCGTATCGATATTGAACCGTTCGATACAGTGCTTTCGGTTCACATATGTATGGAACAATACAAAATTTTGTGTTGAGCTCTCAGTGGATCTGCGTTCGACTACTCCGCCTAG